ACGAACAGCTCAGGCCAACAGACGTGTTCGGTGCGTTTTTTTGTCGCAAAAATTCTTCGTACTCCAAATCAAGGTTTCTTCTATGTGGGGCTAATAAAGGATGTTCCGGAGGAGATCGCGACGCCGAAACCACTAAGGCCTGAACAGGTACTGCGCGAACTTGGTCCAGAAGGTCCCAGATGTGATCTGCAGCTTCAGATTCAAAGTACCTTGCAACGTATATGCACAACTTGAGACCCGCGGGGAGGTGACGAAAGCTCTAGGTTGGAGGGTGTAGCTCGAACTTGACTCAAGACCGCACACACAAGAAGCTGAGCGTCGCAACGAAGCTAAGCGCATCATGAGCATCCAGGGATCCCAATTTTCGCCGGCAGGCGAGCATCTGGAGCATCATAGGGCGCCGCCAGGCAAGCATCACGAGCATCATCGGGGGCTCGTTTCTCCATTGGAGGGTCGTCTGGCAGAACAAGTTCTGACTTTTGAAACGAAAGGCTCCCTGGGGAGAGCTTTCGTGATAAATCATAGTTTGTTATAATAGGACCATTATGGTGTCTTGCGGTGTCTTCCAGTATAGCATCGTAAAGACGACGGCCAGGGAGCTGTCGCAGCCGCCCAAGCGAGCGTCTATTGCCCGGCTGCTGCCCAGAGGCCAGGGCGGCACGAACCTCAGTGTGCCAGCGTCATGCAAGCATTGCCCGGCGTGACTGAAACGAACTGCCCCACACTCTCCAGTGAGTTCTATACTGTGGCGTGGTTCTGCGGCTTCCGTAAAGTGGACACGGCATCTCCCCAACCCCAGGAACGCTCCCCTTTGAAAAACTTCTTGACCGATCATCCCCGCTTTTCCAACCCTTGAACCGCAAAGTTCTCCAAGGTCCCCGGCAAGGTCAGGTCAGCGCTCGCCTGCTCCGTCGCCAACAAGGCGGAGGCCTGACCCTGGAGGCCCAGGGACGTGTCGTAGTCCACCTGGCAGGCGGGTTTTGCGCCGGAGGGCATCTGGCAGACAAGTTCAAAGATCTTAGGTAGTGACAGCGGTAGTGGTGGTGGTGGTGGTGGTGGTGGTGGTGGTGGTGGTGGTGGTGGTGGTGGTCGTGGTGGTCGTGGTGGTCGTGGTGGTGGTAGTAGTCGTCGTGGTTGCGGTAGTGGTGGTAGTAGCAGGCGGACTCGGAGTAGTAGGAGTAAGAAAGCGAGTCACTAGCAGCGACAACAGTGTGCGCTGTTATGCTTTTGCACTTTCATCAGTAAACGCTGCCCAGCCTGGCCGGAGCACTTGAAGCCAAGACCCGCGACGTGGAGCAGAAGCCGCGAGCCCTATGGTTTGGTGTTTCGGGATGAGCTTGAGGGCTCCCGACATCCCTGTCTCTCACTTTTAGCGGATAAAGCTTAAGTGTTGCATCGCCACCGTGTCAACCATGAACACGAAACAAACATGCAGCTGCCATCCTGGCAAGTCTATAAAACGGTTGCTCCATCTCGATGTTGCTGCGATTTATTGTGGGGTACAACCGTTAGAACGAGGAACAAAAGGAACAAGAGCAATGATCAGCAACCGACTAGTGAAAATGAGCAGCTCATGATTGCAAGAGACGTTCGGGTAAGGACCCGAGCCGCTAGCCACAAAACAGCAACCTATGACAGTGAACAGGTGTTCATAGTGATAGTAGTACTAGTTGAATTCGAAATCGGTGATGTCACGAACTCGACCACGAACGGCAGTATCCAAGAGTACTATTCACCTGTCCTTAGCAATCATGCGGACTCATGATCGATGATTTCGTGACATAAGACTGCATATTGCATATGTCACAAAAAGTCAGTGAATAGGGCAAAGGGACTTGAAAGTTGACCATGTCTGTAACCATGATGTTGGCATGACCCGTCAGGTTCGTGACACAGCAGCTGCAAGAACTCTTGTGGCAAACATCACCTCAAAAAGTGACAGCAGTCACGATAACAGTAAGGTAAGAGTAACAACCCTGACAGTAGAAACAACAGCTGTAAAAGTAACACTTCAGAATAACGGTGCCAATAACGACCAAATACAGATGCGTGTAAAGTAGAAGATGATACTATTCCTGAGAATAGCAGCAATACCCCCCTGAGAACCGCAACAAAAAGAAGACACGTGTCAACCAGACAACCACGACGAGAACGTTCATCGGCACAACAACATTTCGAAGAAGCAGTACCTACAACAATAACACGAACAACAAATCTGACAGACACTACTTTAACAGCACCTTGAACAGTTGCTTCGCTCCCGGAGCTTTAGCATTCATCTTGCAGACCAGAAGCTACAAATATCGCTTACTGCACAGTTGCATCCGCCGGGATACACCCTGCTGCGTTCTTAAACCTCCGATTATGAATAGCTGTCTGACGAATTACATGCGAAGGCGCATTTTGTTGCAATTGCATCCACAGACTCTACAAAGAATTCCGGCACCAGGCCCAGGTAAGGCACAAGAATCCGAGCCCCCAAACCGCTGCGTGTATTGATACGCGAACTCTGAAAGTACAAGTAAACAGCACAACGGGCTAAACTGATCTGAGTCTGGAAAAAAAAAAGAACTCACACCGGTTCTTATATCTGAGTCAGATGCCTTCCTTGCAAGATGAAGGACGCGGACCCCTGAACACTACACTGCGACTTAAGGAGCCAGCCTCTTTGCTTGGCATCGCGCCGCTGTCCTTGCTGTCTGCTTATCGTGTCTGCCGGATGCATCATGCTAATTGTGACAAGTCCAGCGACAAGTACCTTGAGCACAACCATGCTCCCTATATGCATCAGAGGTTCAAATGCACCCACGCGCAACTGGTCGCACACCTTGCCGAGCGGCGGTAGAGGCAGGACCGTCACAGGCTTTTGGAGTTTGAACGCTCTTGGCATGTATTTCTCCGTGGTTCAATTGCGACGCTGCCTGTGTACTTGCATTTCTTGAAAGTCGTCGTTTCACTCAAGGATTTGTACCCGAATCAGCCTTCCTCAAAGAAGGCTTTCAAGCACATCCTGATGGTTCGGCTTCAGCGTCTTCGTCGCCGGTTTGCCCTTCCAGTCCCGTGTCCTCACAACAGATTGTCGATGTCTGCCCCCTCGGAAGATATTGCATCGACTTGAGCAAGGAGCAAGTCGTGTCGCAAGAAAAAGACAGAAGCATCGCGTAATTGAACTTTATTAACTTTATCGAGCAAGTACCTAATCTGGTACCTGCTCTGCGACGATATGCAGCAAAGATTGGGTCTCCTTGGGGATCCTGTTTGTGCCCTGCCATGCAGAAAATGGAAAACCTCTTCGTCTGTGCCTGCTCAAAGCATTTCCAAATCATGGGCTTCCCTTGACTGAGCAGCTCGCCAGTCCCTTCACCGAAGCCTTGTCAGGTTGCACTCGGGATGGCTGGAGCAGCCACGAATCCATCTTCCAAAACAGCCCATGGCCTTCACGTGAACCTTGGAAAAGAGTATCTGCACATCGGCCTCTGCAGAAGCTCTGCTGCCAGCTTTCACGGGGAACAAACGCAGCATGCCTCAAAGTCTGGTATCGCACCATCTGGGATTGCCTTGAGAGGCGACAAGAGCGTTGAACGGAGAAACTGCGCTGGTGTTCAAGAGATCTTGAATACTTCTGCAGACGGAGTTCCAAATGCTGGTGTTGGAGCCATCGCTCCAGCACTCCTCGGGCGTTGACTTACGAGGGAGACAAATACGTCGGCTTCACGACTGTAACTCAAAAGTGAAAGAAAACACTATTTAGCAATCTCGTGGTGTCAGAATCAGCACATTGCTACGGACATACATGAACCCAAGCCAACCAGCCCGCATGTGCATCACTGACTTGCCTGGTTCCTGTAGGTCCAGTGCAGCACCTAACACGGAGACGGCTTCCAGGCCGGAGCAAACTCCGATGGGCCATAAGATCATCCCCCCTACCTGACCACGCTACACAGAGTGTCTCTCGCTCTCTGTCCGAGCCGCACGCAGAGGCAACTTGAAGAATCCTAACCACAAGGGTATACCCATAGGCCCCATAGTAGTTCCTTTTTGGGGCTCATATTTAGAATTCCACAAGGTAATCCCAAATAGGAGCTACTATGGGGCCTATGGGTAGAGGTGCCGTGTCTAGATGCCCCCACCGAAACCCTTGGCGCCTCCTTGAAGCAGTGCCAGGCCGTACAAGAGAGACAAGAGAAAGGCCATAGCTCTTGGACATGAAACCTATGCCGCCTAATATAGGGGCCTTGTTGGTTGGAATAAGGTTTTGGGGCCTCTTATACTAAAGTTATACTAAGGAACCCCCAAAATAGTATAGGTAAATATTTCGACCCCCTATATTTTGCCGCTGGTGTGTGCCAGGGCGTCCCGGGATGGTCGCCCGTGTCTTTTAACAAGAATCAAGCCGGGCCCTACTTGGGGAATGTCCACGTGGCATGGGCCACCTGTCTGCCGTAAGACTGCAAACTTTGTGCTTCAGGGCTGTTGGGCAATCCACATTGCAGCAGGCGAAGGCGGTTGTAAAACCCCATGCACCAAACCAAGCATGTGAGGTGTCTCCGAAAGAATCAAAACTTCAAAACATTCTCGTCGACAAAATAGAAATTTCCCGATCTCAGCTCACAATCAAGCCCAGAGCAAGACGCACGCCCAGAGCCACGGATGGAAACTTCAGCACAAGCCCTGCCGCAACAAATGCTGGAAGTCACATCACTGTCACAGTGGAGAGTCGCAGCCGAATCCTGCATCATGCTGGACTTGTACACAGAAACGGGAAGCCTTGTCTGTGTCTGCCTGCGGTTTTTTCCCAGCACCTGGCTAATGAGCTCCAGCCGTTGCAAAGCCCTTGACTTTTTGCCGCCCTCCGCAGTATCACACACCCATCCAGAAGCTACCACAGGTCTCGGAATGGTCGAGCCTCGCCCTTTGCGTGAGCAGCTCACTGGGCCATTTGTGATCTCTGCTTTCCGGCATGTGATACCATGTCTCACCAGAGGAGGGCGCAACTCCAATCACTTCAGTGGTAGTGGTACACCTTGGGCAGGGCCACTGAACACGCAACTAAATCCTGCTTACGCAGGAGTGCCGATCAGTAGAGTAACACACCTCCAGCAAGTCCATCCCCAGTGCTGCTTGACAAACGAAGGAGAGCGCTTTCGAACACCCAGCAGGTGGGCGACGGAAACCGTGCGACGTCAACTGCGACCCCTATAAACTGGACCCCAGGTAAATTGCGGTGTGTTGGCAGTAGCATCATCTCCCTTTCATTGTGCTCGGGTGACATCACCATGCTGAAACGGATTTAATCTAACCTAGCTCTAACCTAGCCCTCAAGCCAATTTCTTTGCATACCGAGCTTTCGTTTATGGGACCAGCAGCTAGTACCTGGCTTTGCATGTCATCAGTACCAGTATGTCCACTGCTTCTCAGACCCACCCGAAGCCACTCGAAGTCGGCGAAAGAAAAGACCCTCCAAAGCTTCTGCCACAGCACTCATTATGTCGCAGCTCCTTCGAACAGCCAGTACAAGCTGTTCGCAATCCTGGCAAGGCAAATGCAGCAGACAATGAAAAGCATTGTTGCTTCGGGAGCCCCGTGCTCCTTTGGAAAGAGGCGACCAATGATGCCTGGAAGGCAAAGACTCTCATGCGTTATGTCTGTTTTCGGTATTCCATAATATCAGCCTTGGTATCAGGAACCTTTTAAGAGCAGTGAAGAGGTTTTTAGTTGAATACTTGGATCTAAAACAAGCACTGCCTAACGCTGCGAGGCTTGACCGGACTCCAGCCCATGCGAGGCTTTCATTACGGATTGCGGATTGTTGCATGGATATTTCGCATGGGGCAGAGAACCAGAGCGGCATGCCGCGCCTATTCGGAAGGAGTTGCCCTTCGAAAGCTTGCCAGGGTAGATAACGAACCTCGTCACGAAGGGAGGCGGTCAGTGACGTAACAGCGTAGTTTTCCAGACTGATGGAAAAGGTTGGAAGGACTGACTTCCCTCTTGCGGGCAATGTGTTTGGGCACTGGAACCCAGCAGCCAGACATGAAACTCCAATAGCCTGTCAGGCAAAATCAGAAAAAGGCAATGCAACTGCTTCCAAACAGCTGGCTGGTACGTGGTGCGAACTCCTACATGAAACTCTTAAGCAAAATGAGGGGCTCGCCCCTGCTCCGCCAGCAGGTTGTAGAAGGTTTGAAAGTCGAAGTTCCTGGCGGGTGCGATGCGACCAAATGCATTCGAAAGAAAATCGTGTCAGCTTTGCAGAACCATTGCCAGCAGGACGGATGGTCAGGCGTCTTGAATGTACAAATGCAGTACGACCGGTGTGCCTGCCGGCAGCACGTGAGACACAATCGCGGTTGCGGCGGCAAGTGCGTAAGCAGCAAACCCTACACGCTCAAATATCGACGGCCTTCGGCACGTAGAACTCAAAGCCCATTTCTTCCATGCCACGCCTCATGCACAGCGGCTGCAGACGAGCGGCACGCAGCAGTTCAACGAACGTGAACGATGAGGACGGATCAGAACAATGAAATGGAAAGGCCCGACACACATCCAGACATCCAATACATCAGAACAAACACATCACACCATCTCAGTTTATTTCATTCACGCATAGCGGCATAGCGAGAAACCAGTCGGCTCATGCAAACACGAATCTACAAGTGGTCCCGACAAACCCTATAAAGGGGGTCGTCTTCGCCAGAGCCTGGCAACAAAGCCCCCTTCAAAGCAAGAGAAGACAACTTCAATTCTTCAGCTTCTCAAGGATCCCGGCTCCATTACCTCGTAGTTCGCCTTGCCGGCGCAGATTCACCGGAGGGGTGCAGGGTGAACAGCCTCCGTATGCCTCATACTTACGAGGGCTTGTGGGTCCATCCGACGGTATCTCCTAGATACCGGCAACGATAATAAGGGCCTCGAAGCCGGCTCAGCACTTCGTCCCATCAACAGGGCAGAACCCTCTCGCTTTTGCAGCCGCGCTCCTGATATCGTGCTGCTCGCTGCTCTCTGGCCCCCTCTTGCAGGAACTCGCGCAGGGCCTGAACGAAATCAGGCATCTCATCTCATCGCTCGGCACAAAATCTGGTTTCAGACGGACGAACTTGCATGACATGAGGTTTCGACTGTTGCAGCTCAGAGGTGCCCAGAAGATGGTTTTGCCAGATGCTTTCTGTGTCCACCGCAATGGAACAACGGCGCCTGCTGGAATGCCAATATCGCGTGCGTGGGCGGAGTGTAGCGGAACTGCCTTCTGCAAGCAGAAATTGGGAATGGAATCTGCGCTTCAAAAGGGATCAACGGAAATCTGAAATCAATTCTCGAACACTCCCTAAGCTCAGGACTTTGTGGACTCCATGAAAGCCCATTGCTCGTAGATGTCCTCATGTTCAGCCAGTCCCGACTTTGACGTGATGTAATTAGGCGAATCGTGATGTGGCTTCACATCAAGCCGAATCAAGCCTGACCATTTGCAATGTGCGCGTGCCGGCTGCCAGCTTAGGACTTGCCAGCCAGGCATCCAGGGACAAGCTTCGTGCGTTGCCCTTGGTTTGCTGCAAGGCCTGCCGGGAACAGCAACTCACCGTGCCGCATGCTCATGGAAGGCCGCAGCTGGCCGACTCATCGGTTCCCCTCCCGGCATCAACCACTCGCGACTGGAACGGGCGCACCTCCCTGCTGCAGAGCACATAGCCAAATCCAGGAACGCCCTGACGGCTGCCACCAAACATGTGCAGACAAGCGTGGTCCCAGAGAGGCGCACATGAATTGCGAAATGATGGCAGAGACCATGGGCCAAAGGCGGTGATGTAAGG